TGGGTGGGGGACAGTTTGGGATGATTCAAGCGTATTACAGTTATGGTGCGCTTTATTTCTATTATTATTACATTGTAATAAATAATGAAATAATTATACAACTCACCATAATGCACAATCAGTGGGAGCTCTGAGCTTGTTTTTCTGCAACTAAGGCCACCGCTGATCTGACAGGAAGCTGACCTCAGGCGGTGATTCGGTTGATGGGGAGTGGCTGTAAATACAGATGAAGCTTCACTCACCAGGTTCCTAACAGGCCACAGACCAGTAACAGTCCCTGGCCTGGGGGTTGGGGACCATAGGCTTACACAACTTAACAAAAAAAACCAAGCCTTAGCTAACTAAATGAGCTGAAACCTAGGGAATATGGGTGCAATTGGATTCTAAAGGTTCTAGGTCAGAGTAGAAAAAACATAACCATTAGATTTGGCTTAAAAAAAGTGCACATTACAGAGATTTGGGGTTTTGATGTTCCAGCTGGAAATGGTTCTAACAGTGCAATTGGTTGATTAAAATCTGGACTCAACAGTGGCCTTTATAAAATGAAGTTGAGATGCCAGAAACTCCTTAGAATAATACAGAAGAAGGCATCTAAGAATTTGGACTAGATGGCTGGGACAGGGCAGGGACTAAGTATAGGTGTGTTGATTGAATGAGAGAATAATTAGGACTTGCCTGGTTTCTCATTAGGGGCCATTGCTTCAGTATGCTACTAACCAGGTCCCACAGCCCCAAGCCCCTCCCCTCCAGTGTCCCCCCCTCAGCTGCCAGAGTGATGCCTGGGGCCCGTCACCATCTGTAGACTCTCCAACCCAAACCTCGTCCACCTGCTGCCCTGCTGCCCTCCCAAAGCTCAGTTAGTATTCACATACGTGCAACTCTGTATTTGCCCAATAAGGAGAATTTTCTAAGTGGTTGGCCATCTTGTAGCTATAAACTTGAAGAGCTGTAGATAAATTGACAAATGGCTACTTGTACAATTTATCAATTTGATTATGCAAATCTTGAGAATTATGAATAACACAGCAGTATATTAATTTACAAATGCTGCTTTTTTCCCCTTTGCTCACTTGTCATGAAATGGTTTCCATAACTTTTCCCAGACATCCTTGGTATATACTTTTTTTTTCTTTTTTTGAGACAGAGTCTCACTCTGTTGCCCAGGCTAAAGTGCCATGGTGTCAGCCTAGCTGACAGCAACATCAAACTCCTGGGCTCAAGCAATCCTTCTGCCTCAGCCTCCTGAGTAGCTGGGACTACAGGCATGTGCCACCACGCCTGGCTAATTTTTTATATTCTTAGTAGAGATGGGGTCTCGCTCTTGCTCAGGCTGGTCTCAAACTCCTGAGCTCAAGCGATCCTCCTGCCTTGGCCTCCCAGAGTCCTAGGATTACAGGCAATAGCCACTGTGCCCGGCAAATGCATTTATGATTCTATCATTCCTTCCACATTTATTAGTTGGAAACAAGAATTTCCCTCCATCAGGCCGGGCGTGGTGGCTCACGCCTGTAATCCTAGCACTCTGGGAGGCCGAGGTGGGAGGATCGTTTGAGCTCAGGAATTCAAGACCAGCCTGAGCAAGAGCAAGACCCTGTCTCTACTAAAAATAGAAAGAAATTAGCTGGACAACTAAAAATATATACAAAAAATTAGCCGGGCATGGTGGCACATGCCTGTAGCCCCAGCTACTCGGGAGGCTGAGGCAGAGGAATTGCTTAAGCCCAGGAGTTTGAGGTTGCGGTGAGCTAGGCTGATGCCACGGCACTCTAGCCCTGGCAACGGAGTGAGACTCTGTCTCAAAAAAAAAAAAAAAATTCAAAAGAATTTCCCTCCATCAACTAGGGCTATGTGTTTACCCGGAAATATAAATCATTGAGCAGGATAGAGCTTATTTCCTTTTTTAAAAAGTAACAACTTATTGAGATATAGTTCACATACTGTATAATAATTCATCATTTTAAAGTGTGCAATTCAGTGGGTTTTTAAAAATTTTCTTTATTTCAGCATATTACAGGGGTACAAATGTTTAGGTTACATATATTGCTTTTGCCCCACCAGAGTCAGTGCTTCAAGCATGTCCATCCCCCAGACAGTGCGCACCGCACCCATTAGATGTGTATATACCCATCCCCTTCTCCCCCACAATTCAGTGGTTTTTAGAATATTCACTGTTGTGAACATCAGTGCTATCTAACTTCAGAACATTTTCATCTCCTGGAGAAGAAACCCCATATCCATTAACACACACTCCCCATTCCTGCCTCCCCCCAGCTCCCGACAACCACTGATCTCCTTCCTGTATTTATTAATTTGCCTATTCTGGACCTTTCATATAACATGTGGTCTTTTGTGACTGGCTTCTTTCACTTAGTTTTCAAGGTTCATCCATGCTGTAGCGCGTGTCAATACTTCATTGTTTTTCATTGTCAAATAATATCCCATTGTATGGATATACGACGGTTGATTTATCTATTCATCAGCTGACCGACACTTGGGGACATTGGCTTGTTCTCCCTTTTGCTGTTGCGAATGGTGCTGCTATGAACACTTGTGTACAGTTCTTGCATGGACATGTGTTTTCATTTCTTTAGGGCATATACCGAGGAGTGAAATTTCTGGATCTTATAGCCATTTTAACATTTTGAAGAACTGATGAACTGTTTTCCAAAGTGGCTGCACCATTTTACATTCCCACCAGCGATCTACGAGGGTTCCAGTTTCTCTACGTCCTCACTAACGCTTGTTATTGTCTGTCTTTTTGATGTTTATTTTATTTTAATTTACAATTTTCAGAGTAAGAAGAAGGTGTTCTGGTACTTCCACTGGTGGCCGACAAAGGTTCTCCCCACTCCCTTTTTAAAAAATAATTTTAAAATTTTAGAATAATTTTAGATTTATTGAAAAGTTGCCAAGATTGTACAAAGCCTGTACACGCGGCGGCCAGTTTACTCTATTAACATCTTACGTGACCATGGACCATTTATCAAAACTAAGGAAGCAACATCGATACATTACTAGTGTCTAAACTCCTGGCTTTACTGGGGCTTCGCCAGTTTTTCTGCCAATGTCTTTTCCAGGATGCAGCCCAGGGTACCTCACTGTGTAAGTATTCATGTCTCCTTGGTCTCCTCTGGACTATGACAGTTCTTCTGTCTCCCCTTGTTTTCTATGATCTTGACAATTTGAGGGGTGCGATAGTAGTATTTTACAGACTGTTCCTCAGTTTGGATTTGCCCAGTGTTTTTCCCGTGCTTATACTGGGGTTATGGGTTGGGGGAAGGACGAAATAGATGTAAAGTACCTTTCTGGTCATGTGGTATCAGCGTGCAAACTATCGCAAGTACCCAGTTAGCACAATTGAGCAGTTTAAAGCAACACAAAGCCCAGGTGTGGTGGCTCACACCTGTAGTCCCAGTGGTGGTTTGGGAGGCCAAAGGTGGGAAGATTGTTTGAGACCAGCCTGGGCAACATAGCAAGACCTTGTGTCTACAAAAAATACAAAAAAATTAGCCAAGTGTGGTTACGTGCACCTGTAGTCCCAGCTACTCAGGACACTGAGGCAGGAGGAGCACTTGAGCCCAGGAGTTTGAGGTTGCTGTGAGCTAGGCTGACACCACTGCACTGCAGCCCGTGAGACAGAGCGAGACTCTGGCTCTAAAGAAAAAAAAAAGCAACACAAATTTATTCTCTGTAGGTCAGAAGCCCAACGTGGGTCTCACTGGGCTACAACCAAAGTGTTGGCAGGAAGGTTCCTGTGGCATTTCTAGGGAAGCAACCCTTTCCCGGCCTTTCCCAGCTTCTGGATGCCACTCGCATTCCTCGGCTCGGGACCCCTCCTCCATCCCCAAAGCCAGCAATGAGGGTTGAGTCCTTCTCACGTGATATCTCTCTGACCTTCTTCCATGTCACATCTCTCCCTAATCCAGCTAGGAAAGGTTTTCTGATTGTAGGGACTCGTGCGATTAGATTGCGCTCACCCGCGTAATCCGGGATGATCTCCTCATCTCAAAGTCACACTCTTAATCACATCTGCAAAGTCCCTTTTGCCATGTAAGGTAACACATTCACAGGCTCTGGGATTAGGGCGGGAACATCCTTGGTGGCCTACCTGCCTGCTGGACACAGGTACCTCTTCTTTATGGAAGTGACCCTGTTTCCATTTAATGTAGCGATATCAACTTTCCTTTTAAAGTACATTTCTTCTTTTTTTTTTTTTTTTTTTTGGACACAGAGTCTTGCTCTGTTGCCCGGGCTAGAGTGCCGAGGCGTCAGCCTAGCTCACAGCAACCTCAAACTCCTGGGCTCAAGCAATCCTTCTGCCTCAGCCTCCCGAGTAGCTGGGACTACAGGCACACGCCACCATGTCCGGCTAATTTTTTCTATATATTTTTAGTAGTCCAACTAATTTCTTTCTATTTTTAGTAGAGACGGGGTCTCGCTCTTGCTCAGGCTGGTCTCGAACTCCTGAGCTCAAATGATCCACCCACCTCAGCCTCCCAGAGTGCTAGGATTACAGGCGTGAGTCACCGCGCCCAGCCTAAAGCACATTTCTTTTTCAGTAAAAACAGTTGGCTGACTTCAAGGACATGTTAAGTAAGTGGTATTACATATAGTTCTTATATAGAAAAAAACAAACCACCAAACTGGTGAAGCAGTGGGATAATCACTAAGGTTTGGGAAACTGAGGCCTGGGTGAGAAGATTCCAGAGGCCTATCCCCAATCAGGAAGTAGCTGGAGTTGGAAGAAATGGTGTCTGTTTGGTAGGAGGCCTGCCTTCCAGCGACCCAGCACAAATCCTGTTGACATAACCCTGTTAATCAAAGCAATCCTCTAACTGCCCAAGGCCAGTTCCTTTGGCTCCTGGTGGAAACTCACTCAGAGGATCCGGATCCGGCAAATATAAAAGGTCTGGTCCCAGCGTGAGGGAGCTACATCCTGGAAGAGGTGGCCAAGGACAGCTCCCCTCCTGCCAGAGCTAGGCAGGCACTGCGGTAGTGGCATGGCCCCGTCAGAAAACCCCAGGGACTGGACAGCCAGCCTCAAAGGCACGAGCCTTGAGACAGACCTGGGGACCAGCTCAGGTAAGAGGTGGCAGAGGGTCCCTCGGCCCCGCAGAAAGACTAGCTGAGGGGCGATGGGAGGCGGGACCCGATGGCAGACATCCCACCTCCCTCGGGGTTGCCAGGATTCTCAAGGCTTGGGTGGACTTCATTAATTTCCTGTGTCAGCCAGCCTCCCAGGACACAGGCTTCCTTCCGAGCCCATGTCGTGGTTAAGAGCACGTAGTTAAGAGAACAGATGTGTGCATTATTTGGGTAACTCAAAAAATTGCTTTTTTAAAACTACAGGGTTTAGGCTGGGTGTGGTGGCTCACACTTGTAATCCCAGCACCCTGGGAGGCCAAGGCAAGAGGATCACTTGAGCTCAGGAGTTCAAGACCAGCCTGGGCAAGAGTGAGACCCGTCTCTACCAAAAAGAAAGGGAAAAAAAAAAACCCAGCCAGGCATTGTAGCGCGCACCTGTAGTCCCAGCTACCCGGGGGGCTGAGGCAGAAGGATCACTTAGAGCCCAGGAGTTAAGAGATTGCAGTGAGCTACAGTGACACCACTGCACTCTACCCAGGGGGACAGAGTGAGACTCTGTCTCAACAAAAACAAACAAGGCAACTGAACACCCCTCCTCTCAGCCCCCACCCCCTTCATATTAAAAAGAAAGAAAGAAAGAAAGAGTACAGGCTTTGGATTTAGACAGACCTGCTCTAATACCCGCTTCACTGATAAATCTGTTGCCTGGTTCATTCATTCTTCTACCCTGTGCTGGGCTCTGAGCTGAGGCGGGGGCACGTTAGCAGGAGAGAACAGGGATCTCCAGGGCAGACAGGACTCGTCCATCGAGGCTGTGGACAAGATTATGGAGGGAGGGAACAGGAGCGCGGTGCTCCCCAAGGACCAGCAACACTTGTGTAAGCTGAGCCTCGGTTTCCTCATCTGCAAAGGTGGCCAGTGCCTTCCTCTTGGGTTGAGGACCTTGCTATTCCATGGACCAGCAGAACTGGCACGGCCTGGGAGCTCGTTAGAAATGCAGAATCCCAGGCCCCACCTCAGACCCACCGTATCAGACTCTGCATTTGAACGAGCTCCCCGGAGTTTCGTGGGAACCGCAGAGTTGAGAGGCACGGAAGCCGTGGACGCGGAGCCCCTGGAAGGCAGATGGCTGATAAGTGGAGATTGAAACTCGGGTCTCTCTGATACTGAAATCCATGCTCTTCCACTGTCCTGTCTTCGTGTATCCACCAACACCCACTTAAACCCTACTGAATGAATGAACAAATGAATTAATGAAACCTCGTCCCTTGCTTGTGCTAGCGCAAACCTTTGGTCTTTTCCTCCCTTCTAGGTGGGAAGCCGGCTGGCCGTCCGAAGACTGTCCCCACGGCTCACCTAACTTTTGTGATCGACTGTGCCCGTGGGAAGCCCCTCTCCCTGGCAACACCTGTGCCGCCCCGAGCCTCCAGCCCCCACCAAGGGCCCGTCGCCCCGCCAATGAAGACCTACATCGTGTTCTGCGGGGAAAATCGGCGACCTCTGACTCAGGAGGCCACCCTGGGTGGCCTACGCCTTGCCCAGGCCAGGGCCACACAGCCGCCCTGCGGAGGGATCGCAGCCCCGGCTCCCTCCCTGGAAAGCCCCCAGAAGGTTCCTGAGGCTAAGGGGGGACCCCTGAAGGCTGCACCTGTGAGGTCTTCAACCTGGGGCACCGTCAAGGACTCCCTCCGAGCTCTCTCCTCCTGTGTCTGCGGGCAGGTCGATTAGCCGATTGACCGGAAGGGCCAGGGGCGGAGGCTGGCACACCGGGCTCCGATGCCCAGGGCCTGCAATTTTCAGGGCCCGCCCCCATTCCTCAGCCAAGCAGCAATCTTTCCTGCCTGAGCCAAAGAAAGAACATTAGATCCACTAAAGGACATCTGAAGCAGCCATCTCGTACACCCTACTAAATCTTCCTCCCAGTCTCTGCTGGCCCTTCAGCAGAGGCGGGATAAGGCTCATTCGTTCATGCAGCAAATGCTAATGGAGTCTTCTCCGTGTCCAGCTCTGCAAAGTGTCTGGGGAAGATACCAGATTTTTTGGAGCTTATGTTCTTGGGGGCAGGGGAAGGGGCGAAGGGTTAAATAAGTATCCAGATGAATAAAGATGATTTTGAACAGTGACGAGTGCGGCGCGGGAACTAAAACAATCCGCTAGGCTGGAGAGTGACTGGGTAGGGGCTTTGCTGGTACAGTGCTTGAGAAAGGCTGCTCCGAGCAGGTAACAACGTACGAGCCAAAAAATGAGAATGATCCAGCCCTGCGAAAATCCACCCTCCCCAGGGCCACCTGCTGGCATTTTATCCCGGGGCAGACCAGAGAGGGTGGTCAGGATGGCCCAGCGTGACAGGCAGGGGCCGCATGTTGGCTGCTGCCATCTTGGGACACTGACAGGGCAGGGGACACAGGCAGGGAGATCCAAGGGCACAGCAGTGGGGGTTGGGAGGCTCAGGGAAGTTGGTGACAGGAGACTCCATGCCAGAAGGCAGCCCGGGTGGGACCCGGCAGTGGGAGGTGGGAAATGAGGGAAACGGGCTTCTCCCACGGAGCGGAGGCCGTGGCAGTGAGATGGAGCGTCGCGTTCGAGCAAATAAAGACAAGATATTACTTAATGAGCCTCTACTGCCTGCGGATGCCAGGCTCACGCTGCCCCCTGGGGACACAGAGAAAAGGGCAGTGGAGGAGCTCCGTCCACAGGGCAATCATGGTGGTGTCACCGGCGTGGGTGTGAGGAGGGTGTAAGCCCCAGAGATGTGTGCCACTGTGTGACGTTGTACATCAACCTATATGAGGAGCTTGTCTCAAGGCTCCAGATAAAAAGTACTGAATTATTTATTCAATGACTATTTTACTAGGTCCCTACAAACACTAGCCACCAACGTGTACTGACCATTTACTCCGTGTCAGAGAAAAGACACTCTCACAGCGCTAGTATAGGGAAGCACCATTGTTTGTACTCATTTTGCAGGTTAGGGAACTGAGGCACAGAGAGGTTGAGGAAGGCACTCAAAGTCCCACAGACTGGTATAGTCGAGATTAGAACCCAGGCAAGCCTGGGCCCAAGTTCTTGCTCCTAACTGAAGGGTATACAGCCTCTGGACCTGGCAGGTTCTCTTCCAGACAGAGCGGACCCAGGGAGCACAGACATGACCCTGTCCTCGAGGAGCTCACAGCCGGGTGGGGGAGACGAGAGGAAGCAGACGATGGCCGTAGCTTCTGATAAGAGCAGCCCAAAGGGCAACACAGAGGGATATTGGGACACAGAGGAAGGTGTCCAGCCCACTCTGGGGACAGGAGGCCAGGGAGGGCTTCCTACAGGAAGTGATCTGACCCCTATACAAAGGGGAGAAGCCAGGGTGCGGAGTGCTCCAGGCAGAAGGACCAGAGTCATTCGGTCTGGCTGGAGTGACCAGGCACTCATTTATTCGCCAGGTATTTACTGGGCACCCACTGCATGCCAGGCTCAGGGCTAGACCCTGGGATGGAGCCATGAATAAGCCAGACAAGGCCCAGCCACAAAGGAGCTGCCCGTCTAGTTCGGAAGACAGGCAATGCACACAAACAAAACAAAGATCAAAGCAGGGGCAGGAGCACAGCACGTGAGGCCTGGCAGGCCCCGGAGCGGCCGTTAGATTTTATTCTGAGATGGGGCCGTTGGAAATTGCGAGGATAGAGTGACTCAGCCAGACTTGGCTTTGAAAAGAATCCCTCCGGCAGAGGGTGGGCGGGCAGAGGAGGAAGCCCAGGAGGATGAGCTTTAATCCCCGCAAAGGGAAGCGACGGTTTGGACTAGAGGGGAGGTGACAGTGCAGTCTGGACAACATGAGGCCATCAGGAAAGCCCCTACCCTCCCTCTGTTGAGAAACACTGAACTGGAAGAGCCCAAAGACAAGGCTGCACTGGGAGTGTGAGACTCTGAGGGGAAAGCCGGGCCCGCGGCTGCACATCCACCTCTGCACCAGCAGGTGTCGCCCTATCATCAGCCTGCAGGGCGCGGGGTCCAGGCCTGGCCACCGAGGGAGGGGACCCGCTGGGCCTGGGGCCAGAGCCACCCACCAGCTGCCCAGCCGCCCAGCGGGTCTGTGTTTTCAGAAGCCAAACTTTCATTCTCACCAACACGTCTTTCATCCGAAATACCGAGCATTTACTCTACACCAGGCACCCATCGAGGTGACATTTCAGAATTTAACTGTGGGGGTCTCGGTACGGATTCAGAGGCATCAGGCACTTATCATTTGCTTGGTAAAGGAAGTTGTCATTACTATTGGCCAGACCTGTTTCTATGCACCACATCAGTTCACCCCACCTCAGTCCCGTAGGTATGATTTTATTGCCATTTTACAGATGAGGAAACCGAGGCCCAGAGAGGTTAAATACTTTGCCCAAGGTCACTAACTAGAAAGAGGAGGAGCCCAAATCCAAACCCCAGGCAGAGTGACTGCGCTTCCAGGCTTGTGACCCCGCACTGCGCTGCAGGCGCTCCGGCCACATGTGTGCAGTGAGTGAGTGAGGAATGCGTGCTTTCCCAGGGCCCAGCCCAGGGCCTGGCAATGTGCGGGGAGTGTCTGGCAACTGAAGGGGTGGGTGGGCCTCACTGAGATGGGGCACACAGATGGAGCGGGGACAGGGAGAGATGACAGTTTCAGGGGGGACATGTCACGTGAGAGCCCTGTGGGACATGTGGGGATGCTGGCAGATAGTGGCCCATTCCCCACTGGTACCCTGGTCAGGACTGAGGCTGGCAATGGGGGAGCCATCAGTATAGAGGTTGGTGACTGAAGCCACTCAAGGAAACCATGGAGTGAGACCAGGTCACAAGCTCAAGGTTAAGGAGGTGTGAGAAAATTTGGAATAAGCAAAAAATACCACTGGGTGTTTCCAACACAATCTATGCACCGTCTGATTGGGGGCCGCGCACCTTCTGTTGCCTTCAGGCTATTTTACAACCCTGTATATTGTCAATAACTGATAGGAACTCAACATATTTCGTGTCTACAGACAAGCAGATCCTGTCCTGTCTTGCAGAAGCCCAGTGGACTCCGCCCCTCCTGTGGAAGATGGCAGTTTTACCTCCATTTGCACATTCCCTTCAATATTCCCTGATCTACAAACATATCTGTTCTCTGACTTCTCCTGTGAACTGATCGTAACATCTTACTGGTTCCCTCTTTAGTCATGAGTTAAGTAAAATCCTTAGTGGGAATGTAAAATGGTACAGCCATTCTGGAAGAGTCTGGCAGTCCTTCAAATATAGCGTTACCACATGACCCAGCCATTCACTCCCAGGTATGTACCCAGGAGAGGGGAAAACATATGTTCACACAGAAACCTGCACGCGAATGTACACACAGCACCATGCACAACAGCCAAAGGGTGGAAAGAACCCAACATCCATCACTCGCTGGGTGGATAAACAGACCGTGGTTCACCCACACAGTGGAGTATCACTCAGCCTTATAGAGGGTTGAAGCTCTGATTCATGCTCCTACATGGATGAATCTTGAAAACATCACGCTAAGTGAAAGGTGTCCAACACAAAAGGTCACATATTATATTATTCCATTGATATGAAATATCCAGAATGGTGAAATCCATAGAGACAGAAACCAGATTAGCGGTTACCAGTAGCTGGGGGCGGGGAGGGAAGTGGAAAGTGGTTGCTTAACGGGTGCAGCATCTCCTCTGAGGGTGAGGAAACTGTTCTGGAACTAGACATAGTGATGGTCGTATGACATTGTAAATGTACTAAATGCCGCTGAATTGTGTGCTTTAAGATGGTTGATTTTATGTTATGTGACTTTTACCTCAACAATAAACATAAAAACCCTTTAACATGTGTTCATTTTATGAGTCATGATTTCACTTTTTTGTTGTTTTCTAAATTATTCTTTAACAAAGAAAAGAAAGAGGAACAGATGAGACAGGTACAGTTTCTGTATAAGAAAGTGGCTGGGGGCCGGGCGCGGTGGCTCACGCCTGTAATCCTAGCTCTCTGGGAGGCCGAAGCGGGTGGATTGTTTGAGCTCAGGAGTTCGAAACCAGCCTGAGCAAGAGCGAGACCCCGTCTCTACTAAAATTAGAAAGAAATTAATTGGACAACTAAAAATATATAGAAAAAACTAGCCGGGCATGGTGGCGCATGCCTGTAGTCCCAGCTACTCGGGAGGCTGAGGCAGGAGGATCGCTTGAGCCCAGGAGTTTGAGGTTGCTGTGAGCTAAGATGACGCCACGGCACTCTAGCCCAGGCAACAGAGTGAGTCTCTGTCTCAAAAAAAAAAGAAAGAAAGAAAGTGGCTGGGTCTATGGCTATGCCGCCCTGAACGCGCCCGATCCAGTCTGACCATGGAAGAAAGTGGCTGGGAGGGAAGAGAGAGGAGAGAGGGAGAAATGCAGAAGGAAAGAATGTTCCAGAAATCAAACATTTTGTGAAACTAAATAATAAAATAACATTTGCTATCAGTGCTTTCCATGTGTCAGCCCCCACTCTAAGCTCTCTCAAAAGAATAGCCCAATTAGTCTTCACACAACCCTGTGAGGTGCTGTCCCGTTTTACAGATGAAGAAACTGAGGCTCGGGTAGGTTAAGTGACTGGCCCAAGGCCACACAACGAGTAAGTGGCAGAGCCAGGGTTGAAACAGAGGTAGTTTGACTGTAGAGTTTTTACCTGCTGACCACGCTGTAGGAACTTATAGTTGAGGGAATGGATCAATAAATTAAGACTTTATTGAA